AATAGATAGATATTTAAGAGAGGTGAGGCTTTTGAGAACTTGGCTGCTTAATGTTTTCAGATTCTCTATTCTAAGTGTTTGAATAGAGGAAGGCAATTCCCAATGTTGGATCTCTTCGTCACTGCCATCATGTCTGATCTCTAACTCTGTGAGACAGGGGAGTCTCTGTAAACACCACTCCTTTCGGCCGTTCACTAGTTTCTTGCAATTATAGATCTTAAGGACTTGTAAATTGAAGAGATCTATTTCTGGCAGACACTTGAGCTTCTCACAATCCCAAATATGCAAAGACGTCATGGCAGACTCATGGGTTCCAACTGCCACTGAAAGTATTTCAAGATTCTCACAATCCCGAATAGTGAGACTTTCAGTTGCAGTAGGAATCAAAAACCTAGCAAGGTTATAGCAAGCATGTACCTTCAAAGAACGTGCTCTTGGGAGCAACTCAGGTGATATATCATCTATACAATCACAATTATACAGTTGCAAGCTCCGCAGAAACATGTTACAATAACCAACTGGCTCCTCCAATTTCAATCTCTGACAATGAGATATCGCTATTCTCTTCAAGGAACTGGGCAATATGCTAAAAGGTAAGGAGGTAAGAGAGTTACAAATTTTGATATCTAATTCAGCAATCTGCTTCATTCCCTCAAATTGGGATCTAAGCAGTTGAGCTTCATCAAAAAGAGGTGTCTCTGAAATTCTCAATTCTATCAGACAACATAGATTTTCAGGCAACTTCCCCATCAACTTTGGACATTTTCTAATTGAAAGGTACTCAAGTATAGGGAACTCCCCACTTCCTAGTACGTGCCATTGCTTCCACTCCGGCATATCTTCAAATTCAAGCTTCTCAAGAGCGTTAAAAGGCTTTTTGGAGGATGAACTTCCATAGAACTCTTCCGTCACCTCTGTTATTCCATGCATCCCTCTAATGTCAAGGAATTTCAAAGAAGGAAGCTGTCCTAGTGCTGGCAAAGAATCACAGTCCTTGCAGTTGCTAAGATACAATTCTACTAGCTGAAGAAACGAAGGATCAGCCAGCCAATTTGAAAATTTGGTCCCTCTATATCCGGTGATTTCGACATTTTTTATGTTTGTGTATGGGCGTAGCTCCTCAAGTATCTCTCTTTCAGTTTGAGAATCGTAAGCAAAACTACCTTCACTACACTCCAATGATAACTTGTCAACATGTTCCTTTTCCTTTATATTTGCCTTCAGAGCTTCCCTTCTATCAACTACAGTTTGCAACTCTAAAACTGATAGAGATCCATACAAGTTATGTACTTCACCCAAATCTTCCATTCTCAAACCACCGCTACCACCTATAAGAAACTTGGCTCCCAGTAGGACTTGGAGGTTTTTCAACATGCTCAGATGTAGCAGCATCTTCAAGCGAGAAGTGTTGCTTATGTCGAGGTGACGCAAGTTGATCAACTTCTCCATCTTCAGCGGTAGCTCCTCAAGATTTTCACAAGATGACAGGAGAAGGGTTTCCAAGTTATACAAGACACAAATGGAATCTGGCAACTTTTCAATCTGTGTCTCAGAAAGGTCCAAAAATCTGAGGAGCTTTAATTTGATAAACAAGTCATTTGGCAACTCCGTAATCCTATAACCTGACAATGATAATGCCCTTAAGGATGTTAGTCTTGGAAGTATGTTATGTAGCACCCTCTTGCTTAGCCCAGAAAAGTTACTGATATTGGTTGGAAGCAATGTCCTCAGCTGCTCTGATTTGGAGAGTGGTATCAATTTCTCAAATTCACCTTCTTGTCCCATGGAATAGGACATGTGCTGACATTGTTCCAACATATCATCAGATCCTTCGGTCTCTTCCAACCTAATACAAAGTTTTGAAGATGCAGTTTGGGCCAAATCATTTATAAGATCATGCATTAAGAATCTCTCTGATTCCCATTCAGACTCTGGGTCCCTCTCAAACAATGATCTTGATCTCAACTCGTCAAAGTATTTGTTACCTGAACAAAACTGCTTTACAAGACCATTAGCAATCCACAGGTAAATAAGTTTGTCTTTGCAGAATTGATAATCTTTGGGATATATTGCACAAAAAGCAAAGCATCGCTTCAAATGTGCAGGAAGATCATTGTAGCTCAACATCAATGCTGGTAATATACCATTCCAACAACGCTGGTCCCATATTTCACTTCTTAAAATGTTTCTCCACTCATCTACCTCTGATTTGCCGCGTAAAACACCAGCAAGTGCCTTTAGAGCTAAAGGCAACCCTTTGCACTTATCTGCAATTTTTTTCCCAACCTCTTCAAGTTCTGGATGATCCCTATTTTCTAGTGAATGTCGTTTGAATAAAGCCCAAGAGTCTTCACTAGACAGAGTCCCCATGGTGATTGCGCAACGATCAGCACACATCATCTGAGCAACACTCTCCTTACGTGTTGTTACAATGATCTTACTTCCCATAACTCCTTGTACAAAAACATTTCTCAGGTTATCCCACTCACTATAGGTATCATTCCACACATCATCAAGGACAACAAGAAACTTCTTTCCCTTCAGGCTTTCCTTCAATTTGACCTGTAGCTGATTAACATTGCCGTCATCCTTCGAGTCAAATGAGCCAATTCCTTGAAGTAACCCTTTCGTTATTCTCAAAGCATCATATGGCTCAGAAACACAATACCAAGCTTTCAAACCAAAATGGTTCTTCACCTTCTCATCATTGTAAACAACTTTAGCTAGTGTTGTCTTACCCGTGCCGCCCATTCCAACAATAGGAACTACAGTCAGGTTTCCTCCACTTGCATCTTCAGACAATAAACGGTCAATCATATCCTTTTTTTCCTTGTGTAAACCAAAGATATCAGATTCATCAACCAAACAAGTTGAAGTTCTAGTTTCTTGTTTAGTCGAACCAAAATGTTTCTGTAAGCCAAGGTCACTAATTTGATTTTGCAAATTCTCCAATGTTTCAATAGTCTTTTCCAACTTTTCATTTATGTTAAGAAAAGAATGATCACCCAAGCACAGGCTGCAAAATCTACAATGCTTCAATATTTTTTCTGCAAGATTTTGATGCTTACCTTCCACCTTAAGCTTCAAAGCTTCATAATTGACTTGTTCAATCAAGTTTTCAGCAGAGTCTACAGCAACTCGAAGCTCATTAAGCCACTCTCTCACAAATTGATTTGATGCTTGCTTATTCTCTGCATCACTTAGCACAGCTTGAAGACCAAGCAAAGTCAATTTCAGCTTCTTTAAGAGCTCAACATCATTCTTACGCTTCCGAAACATTTTGAGAAGATCGCCCTGAGGAGCAAGCCTATCAATGAGAACATCCAAAGCTGAAGAGAGAAATACACCACCAACTGCCAAGACAACCTCCATTTCTGAAATCTGCAAATTCAAAACAAAATGATTTTTTAAGATAAATATTTTTCTATCATTAATTACTAACAACTTCTTTATGTACCTGTTGAATGCTAAGAGTAATTCCCAAACAAGATGATCACTGATTTCTCTCTTTTGTCTACAAGAAAGAAGCAAAACAATTCTCTTTTCTTGACTGAAAAAACAAAGATTCGAAAATAATTGAGGCAATAAAGAAAAGTATTTTTAGCTTTATGATTCATTACTTTTTCTTTTTTTTTTAAATCAAAGACCAGATGGGTCAGGATTTTTATTAAACTAAGAGCAAATATATACAAAATCATGTGGGTTGCCTAAGTGTACAGCCCACCAAAATAAATAAACAAAACAATAAAAGACAACACCTACCAACTAAGAAATATGATTCATTACTTTTGCTTTATGCACTACTGCTTTTAACAGCTCATTTTAGTGCTTAATTGGGCCTAACATATCACTTAACGAAAAAACAAAGACTTGAAAAGAAACAGGAAATTAAGTCACTTAAAAATGAGGAAAAACAATTTCCTTAATGAAAATAGCGAAGACAAATTTTATAAATGACATCATATATTTATTTATTTTTGTACCCCAACCCCTACCCTTTGATTCTAGCCCTCTACTTTGGAATACTTTTATTTGAAATTTTATAAATGACATCATATATTAGAAATTATTCATTAGTAAATGATACTATAAGAGTATATTTAATACAAATATTCCATACAAGTAAGTATGGTGTAGAGTTAAATAATTAATGATGTCATCTTGACTATTGACGTGGAAAATATGAGGGTGGGCCCACATCAATTGCCCTATAAGCTTAAACTGACGTCTACGTTACTTTTTTTAATCTGGTATTTTCTCACGAAAAAAAACTACTTTTGCATCGACACTCTTGTTAGATAATTATCGAGGCAAAAACACTTCTTTCGAAAGTTAGTTTTTCTTGCTATCTTACTATATGAAATTATATAACAAGACATTCTTATTTATTTTTCGATTCTCTTACTACCACCACAGAGTCACTCTTAACATGCTTGAGAATGTATGGAATGTGGACTCCACTGACAACAACTCTGGCATTAATTGTTGTTCAGTTTAATCCAGTTGCCGATAAAGCTTGTTGGCATGCAGCCATAACTTTTCTACCTTGAAAGCCCATATTTCCATGCTTATGCGTGAGCACAATGGTTTTGAGCTTTTTTTCTCCATATTGTATGATAGTTCTTTTCCTGTTTTCTCCCCTCTTATGTGTGTAATAATGCCTTTTGCGTTGAAAGGCAGCTTAGCTCTTTGTTCAATCGAATATATCTTTCCTTTGGACGGTTCATAGGAAGTGAAGGTATGCGATGGAGCAGAGTTTCTTTGTTTTTGTGGTCAACATAGATATATATGGAACTTTTTTGCCCATTTCATTTATCCTTAGATATTTATGGTCCTCTAAAAAGCTGAGCTCTTGTGTTCTCTTAACTGAACAATGAATATACCTTAAATATTATGAAATATACTAATCACTGTAGTGGTTGATAATGCAGTCACCCCCTCAATCCCCCCACCCCCGCGAAGAAGGATTGGTTACAAAAATTTTAAACAAAACATAAGACTGAAAGGAGCAAAACTATTTCCAAGCAACAACTTTAAACAAAAAGGCCTTTTTTATCTGTAGCTTTAAACGAAAATCCTTGTGGGTACTCACTGGCATATTTCTTGCCGCCAAAGCCACCTTCAGCCCTTCCTGTTATCACACAGATATTATGTTCGGGAACACCAAGACAACATCAATCAAACTATGCGTATACTCAGGAAACTGAGTTGAAGCGTGAACAGCCATGGTTTTGTCCTCATCCGGCCTTTGGGTACATTAGAGCTTGACATTCCATTTGCAGCAAGTCATGTTTCATCTCAAGGAAGCCACAGTAGACAGCTGTACGACTTGGAAATCACAACCTCCTTACTGAAAGCAATTAAAAAGAATTTTTAGAATTCTTGGCCAATCCACGTATTGCAATTACAGACCAGCACACATATCTCTATGTTTATAGCTGTACATGTATGATTCCTCTAGAAAAGAAATGAAATACTATTGTTTTATTTAACTAAGAAAGTGATTATTGCAAGTGAAGAAGTTTAAAATTCAATATATCATATATGGCTCACAAGCGATTTTTTATATTTTACAAATTTGTACCGTCTGGAATATCAATTAATAATACCTGTATTATTCAGCTTTTCTTGCAGATTGACATTTTCTTCCTTCATTCTATTAAGCTCTTCACTGTCTTGGATGTCAAACTGTTCTTTCCGAGCCAGATTGTCATATGCTTTATCTCTGCAACTACATATCTGCATATCATAAGGAGTAAAACATAACTTTTCAAATTCCAGATGACAAAAGTTTATCCCAGGCTTACGAATAGCAAAGACGAAAATGCAAAACAACAGAAAAAATTAGCATTACATGATTGTTGAAAAGGGACTCAAGCTATCATTTTGGAAAACCTACGGTTACATTTGTAAAAAAGGAGCAATCTAACTGAGACAACAATTGAATGCTGTATTGCTTCAGAAATCCTGATACGTGACTAGTTCAGTATTGCTTTAGCTACACTCTTGTGCATACACTGTATTTGGATAAGAAATATAGGAAACAATCTACAAAAAGGGAATGTTCTTAGAAAAAGACTTTTGTTGTCACTCTTTTGGTTCACTGAATGTGTACTCTCTCTTCTTTCCTAATTGCCGCTTCACAATTTTCTTCTTTCATTACAAAATCTCTCCAATTTCTTGGGAATACAAGATTGGGATATTTCATTTGATCTTCTTTGGGTTTACAACTCACATATTATTCCACTGACCCATTTATTCAGGATTTTCCACATATTTTGTAGGCTCCAAAATCCAAGTTAAAAGGCACATGACTTTTCATTTGTGAAACTTGCATTTGAGTTTATGAATTCTGAATTTTACAAAAAAAAGAAAGTAATTGGTTCTGAGCAATAAGTAGATTTCTTAATGCAAATACACAATTTTAACACAAATAGCTAAAATTCTAGCTCGGTTGTAAAAAATAATGCAAGTGTTAATTATAAGTATCTTTAACAGGAAAGATAAAGATATGAAGTATAAGTTAGGCTACCAATGGTAGGGTTAGAATGCAGCAGTCAATTGGGACTTCCATTAAGATAATCGTATAAACTACAGACTACTAGAGAAAGATCTCTGAAGTTCTGTATCATATCTTCTTCTTTACAACCCTTCGACATAATGATGAGTATAAACAAGTAGATCTATTACAGACCATACACTGTCTATATTTATAGTTCTATTTGACTATAAAAAGTGATTTCTAAGCTTACTGCCAGGTGAAGAAGTGTCAAATTCAAGATATGGCTCACAAGCAATTTTTTTTATACTGAAGAAGCTAGAAGAACAAAGCAATGTGAAGGCTTAATCAAGAACTGAAGGCTTCTCAATCGTTCACCCTCTAACAGTCATAATACATCATGATACGTCTATCCGTTTATTAGCCTTAGATTCATCTCTGATGCGAATCAATTGCATTATTCTGACCATTCATGATTTTTGTTGACCGAAGTTTAAGAACAACAAAGACAAGATCGAACAATCCTACAGCAACAATGGATCAACAACCAAATCATGCTAATAGGACAAGCAAAGGAGAATTCCACAAAATTAACTGTCATGTTATCTGGACGGTAAATTGCAACAAAGAGTAGTACGTAAGATGACATCATATTTTGCACAAGCTACATATGATATCTTTCTTTCGCAATTGAGATGTGAAATTAAAACGCGTAAGAGTATAAGTCAATAAGCAATGAGAAACCAATCCAATACTTGATATCCAAGAAATATGCAATTATATATATAACGCACAACAAGTAGTTGCAAGTCTGTAACATCTAATTGACTCTTGACAGACTTTATCCCTGTAATAAGATATAATGTAAAAAATGTGTAAATGAAGCATCACAATTAGGAGCTACAGGAAACATTTATAAATAGGGAAAATGGAGATTAATACCTCAGGCAAAGTTCTCAATGGTGATCCATATAAAAATTAATACCATCAAAATTTTCAATCTTCATCGCAACTTTGTATTTTTAAAAAAGAAAATACATATATCATTTGAGGTTTTTACTTTTCAACCTTACACCAAATATATGCATAATCTTGGGTAGAAACTAATCCAGTGGAATCTGAATTAGGCGACAGAAACTTAGCAAACACGTCATGAAGACAATTATATCCAATTAGCCTTCAACCGATCTAATGGTATTTCTGAACAACTCCAAAAAGCTAACATAAGCAAATTCCACGAAGAAAATCTAACAAAAAGAAACCTTCAAGTATCTTTCCTTTTATTGCAAATGAATAATCAAAATGTTTCACTATTTCCCCAATCAAATTCATCATTTTCAACCTTAAATTAAAGTGAGAACTAAATGAACACCTTGATTTTACTGCATAATTAGAAATACAAAAATATGAATACTTAATTAAGAAAACTCATATTATATGAGTCTCATTTGGCAAACGAAAACTCCAAGTGTTTGCACTTGACATTAAAACATTATCTTCTGCAGCTTTCAACTAATGAAATAGAGCTTTACATTATAAATACATTAAAAAAACTAAAACTTAGTAACTATCTTTTAAATATTTTTAGTCGGATCATTAAAATGCAACAGAAAAAATTCAGGTTTAGATTGGGTGTGTTGATTTTGTAAAAAATTCAGGTTTAGATTGGGTGTGTTGGTTTCTTTGTTTCGCTGGCTGATGACTGATGAGAGTGCCAACGAAGTAAATTTATTTCGCTGATTTATGACAGTGTAAACTATTACTCATAATCTCCAAAGTTCTCAAAGGAAACTTCATAATCTCCAAAGTTCTCTGAATATCAAGACCAAAAAACTGATGCAATATTCTGGATCTTTGATTACCAAAAAAAAAAAAACTGATGTAATTATGTAGTCGCATCAAACTTGAAATTATTGTGGTACAACATGGCGTAAATAATGGAAGTAGGCATTCAAAGTCGTTCTCAATTTCTTTAAATTTCAAGATTGATGCAACTCTTATCAAGGTCTTGGTTTCCTGATTGAGAAAGTGAGGTTGCATTTCTTGGACCCATTTATCTTTGTAGAAGAAATGAAAAATGCGAAACAACTTTCATGATGGCAAATAATATTCCAGTCTGCAAGATTTGAGACGGAACATAGGTTAACAGACAAGAAAAGGGAGTCTTAAGAGTCAACTAAGATGGAAAGTGAGATTTGTCACAAGAATATATGAATTGTTATAAACATCATGCTGACATATATTAAGCAACCAACTTTCTGGAGCAAATTATCTCAATTCCTACCTATACTAGATTTCTTTCACAATGTCTCAATGCAAATATAAAGATTTTATCCTGATCTATAGATATTTCCTCGACTTCACAGAGGTAATAGATTCTACACACTGGTCCAAAATATTTAACAGACGAGCAAAGAGGAGTAACAAAAAATCAAATGATACTAAGGAAATAGTATAACTTACAAATCTGTACGTAGGAGCACCACTCGTTTTAATTATTACAGGTTCTCCCAATCAGCATTTATGGTGGAAGCATGAGCAATTTTTGGTCAGTAGCCGTTGTTTGAGCAATAGATGCTCCACACTGCTCGGCAAGATAGAAAAAAAAAGAAAAGAATTAGCAAAAAAACAAAGTGAAGTAAACAAAAATAAAAAGCTTCTGAGGGAAAAGAATAACTTACATTTGTCAAAGCATCATTTGTTTACAGGTGTTTCCCATGGATATTTATGATGGGAATTTGAGCAATATTTGGCTAGTATTCCCCCTTGTCAAATTCTAGGAGTGGTTTGAGCAATGGACAGTTGGAAATAGATAGATAAGAGAGGGAAGAGGGCATCCCTTTTACTGGAAGTGATTGGAGATCAGGGCAATCAAAGATGATCAGCTGAGAGAGGGAGGAGGGCAGTGCTGATTCGGAAAGTGATTGGAGATTAGGGCAAGCAGTGATGTGTAGACGTCGAAGAGAAGTGAGGTGCGAAAGACTTAGTGAATGGAGCTCATGATGGTAATCTAAACTTAGCGCACAAAGAGAGGAGGGAAGCCGGCCTTCTTCCAACAGTGACTGAATTTGAGGTAAATTAGTAATACGTAGATGTTGAAGAGAGGTGAGACTTTTGAGATGTTGGCTGCTTAATGTTTTCAGATTGTCTATGGTAAGTCTCTGAATAGAGGAAGGCAACTCCCAATGTTGGATATCTTCGTCACCGCCATCATGGTAGATGCTTAACTCTCTGAGACAGGGGAGTGTCTGTAAACACCACTCCTTTCGGCCATTCACCAGTTTTGTGCATTTCTTGATCTGAAGTTGTTGTAAATTGCAGTGTCAATTCCTCGAGAAACATGTTACAATAACCAACTGACTCCTCCAATATCAATTTCTGGCAGTGAGATATCCATATTCTCTTGAAGGAACTGGGCAGTATCCTAAAAGGTAAGGAGGTAACAGAGTTACAATACTCAATAGATAATACAACGATTCTGTCAGCCTGAAGTTGGGATGCAAACAGTCCAGCCTCGTCAAAAAGAGGCGTCTTTGAAATTCTCAATTCTGTCAGAGAAGAAAGATTTTCAGGCAACTTCCCCATCAACTTCGGACAATTTCTAAATGAAAGCTTCTCAAGTATAGGGAACTCCTCACTTCCTAGTACGTGCCATTGCTTCCACTCCGGCATATCTTCAAATTCAAGCTTCTCAAGACAGTTAAAAGGCTTTTTGGAGGATGAACTGCCATAGAATTCTTGTGTCACCTCTGTTATTCCATGCATCCCTCTAATCGAAAGGAATTTCAAACAAGGAAGTTCTCCTAGTGCTGGCAAGGAATCACAGTCCTTGCAGTTGCTAAGAGACAATTCTACTAGCTTAAGAAACGAATGATGAGCTAGACAATTTGGAAATTTTGTTCCTCTATATCCGGTGATTTCGACTTCTTTTATGTTTTCATGTGGGCGTAGCTCATCAAGAATGTCTCTTTCTGTTTGTGAATTGTCAGCACTACTAATTTCACTCCACTCCAATGATAACTGCTCAACATGATTCTTCTCCCTTATCTTTGCCTTCACAGCTTCACATCTTTCAACCACGTTTTGCAACTCTAAAACTGATAGAGATCCATACAAGTTCTCTACTTCACCCAAATCTTCCATTCTCAAACCACCTACAAGAAACTTGGCTCCCACTAGCACTTGGAGGCATTTCAACTTGCTCAGATGTAGCAGCATGTTCAAGACCCAAGTGTTGCTT